AAGGAGAAGGAGAAGAAGAAGAAGACGAAGAAGAAGAAGAAGAAGAAGAAGAAGAAGAAGAGGAAGAGGAAGAAGAAGAACAACAAAAAGAAGAAGGGGAAGGAGAAGGAGAAGAAGAAGAAGACGAAGAAGAAGAAGAAGAAGAAGAAGAAGAAGAAGAAGAAGGAGAAGGGGAAGAAGGAGACGGATAAAGAAAAAGACGAAGATGAAGAAGAAGAAGAAGAAGAAGAAGAAGAAGAAGAAAGAAAAAAGAAGAAGGAAGAAAGAAGAAGAGGAAGGAGAAGAAGAAGAAAAGGAATAATAAGAAGAAGAAGGAAAAGAAAAGGAGAAAGATTTTTACATAAGCAACACTGTGCGTCTGATTGCACACTTTGCAACCTTCATAACAGATCTTGTGCTTTGCAACCTTGTATGTATTTGCTCAATTTGTTTACTTTTTTCCTGTATTCGTATGTTTGTTTCGTAATTTTTTTATGATTATTTATGATGATAATAAAATCCATCATCATAACAATAATAATAATTAGAACTAATAATAATGATAATATTGATATCATTACCATTATTAGCATTATAATAATTATTCTTATGTCATTGTTATTATCATCTTCATTATTGTTACTGTTATCATTATCATCGTTATCTTTATCATTAGTGACATCATCAGCACCATCATCATCACAAACATCTAATCATTATCACCAACATCAACTTTATTATGATTTTTGAATGTTATTTAATCGTTATTTCCTGTAAAGTTTACGAAAACGCAAATTAATGATAATAATAGTTGCGATGTTGCAATTACGTCCCTTTATATGAGTAAAAAGGATAAACGCTTCCATTATACATACACGTACATACATACACACACGATAACATCCGCGTATGCGTGTGCACATCCAGCTCGTGTATGCAATATCTACGGCATTCCGTCCCCACCTCCCTCCCTCCCTCTCCCCCTCCCCTCTTCCATTGACCGTGTGATGGTGCTATTCCCTCCCTCCCTCTCTCTCTCTCTCTCCCTCCCTCTCTCCCTCCCTCCCTCTTTCCCTCTCTCCCTCTCTCCCTCTCTCCCTGTCTTTTCTCATTCCCTCCCTCTCTTCCTTTCTAGCTTTGCTTCTCCTCTCTCTTCTCTTCCCTCCTCTAATTCCTTCCTTCCTCTCCTCCCTTCTATCTATTCCTCCCTTCTATCTCCTCCTCCCTCTCCCTCCCTCCCTCCTTCCCTGCCCACGTGACGGCGCCCTCCCTTCACCCTGCGCCCATCCCTCCCTCCCTCCCCTCCCCTCCCCCCCTCACCGAGCCACCAGCTGCCACCTGTCGACCCAAGTCCGCGTACACACACCTCCCCCTCCCCCCTCCCCCACCCCCCCTCATCCCATGACCCACCCCAACACCGCCTCCTACCCCCACTCTCCATACACCCCCCCCCCCACCCGTCCCTTCCCTGAGCTCGCACCGCCATCTGTGGGGCTGTGAACTCCGCGCTACACGTCTGTCTCCTGTCTCCTGCTGTCTCTTCCTGCTGTCTCTTCCTGCTGTGTCCTCCTGCTGTGTCCTCCTGCTGTCTCTTCCTGCTGTTTTCTGCTGCTGTACTCTCCTGATATTTTCTGTTGCTGTCTGTTCCTGCTGTTTTCTGCTGCTGTCTCTTCCTGCTGTGTCCTCCTGCTGTTTTCTGCTGTCTCCCTCTGCTGTCTGTTCCTGCTGTCTCCTTCTGCTGTTTTCTGCTGTCTCCTCTTGCTGTCTTCTTGCTGCTGTATCCTCCTGCCCCTTCTGCTGTCGGCGACGACCATCTGTGGCGCCGCTGCATCTTGCGAGGGGGGTGGGGGGGGCGGGGGCTTGGACACCGTATGGTCACAAAGATAGATAGATGGATGGATGGACGGATAAATGGATGGATAGATAGACAGATATACAGATAGATAGATAGATGGATGGAATGATAGATAGATTAGATAGATGGATGGATAGACAGATATACAGATAGATAGATAGATAGATAGATAGATAGATAGATAGATAAATGGATGGGTAGATAGATAGATAGATAAAAGGATATATAGAGAAATTGAGGAAAAGAGGGATGGAAGGAGGGAGGGAGGGAGGGAGGGAGGGAGGGAGGGAGGGAGGGAGGGAGGGGGGAGAGGGAGAGGGAGAGGGAGAGGGAGAAGGAGAAGGAGAAGAGAGAGAGGGAAATGGAGAGGAGGAGGGAGCAGGAGGAGAGGAAGAAAGACAGACAGAAAGACAGACATTTTAGCCATAACAGTCAGTCAGGCAGACAAACAAACAGGGAAAAAAAACGATAATGTACGATAACATGTCTCGAGTGACCGACAGCAGCAGCGCGAATTCTCGTGTGATGTACGATAACTTGGCTTTTTGTGGCTCGCTTGCGTTGCATTCGAAGGCCATATTTGGAATTAAAACACTTTTGAAGGAAGGGAGAGGGGGGCGGGGAGGAAGGGAGACGAATGGGAGGGAGGGAGGAGGGAGGGAGGGA